TTTTGGGCTACCAAAATCTGAAGAATGCCTGCCCGAAGGGCTACCAGGGATTTTGAATTTTTGCAAGCCCTGATTCCTGTCCGTCTGTTCATCCTCTCACTGCCTTGATACATGTGAATCTTCAGTTGACAATGGGAGTAGTGTGTGTGTGTGTGTGTGTAATATTTCTATAATGGCAATGTGTGGCAATGCTTTTTTGCATTGATTCAGAATGATCGCATGTCTAGAGGCGAGACAGAAGTTATACAACAAAGCTTGTTTGCCTGTCGTCAACACAAACAGACTGAAATGCACCAGCATAGCGACTTCAACCCTGCCAAGAGTTTGATATTATTACACACAATCTAGATTAGAATCCAACCTACAGAAATAGTAACGTCTCTGGTTACAGAACGTAACCTCGGTTCCCTGAGAAGGGAACGAGATGTTGCGTGCAGCTATGCTGACGCATTGGGGAAACACTTTCCTCAGAATCTTTCGACTGAATAAGACCAGAGTGAAAGTAACATGGCATGAACACAACGTCTCATTCCCTTCTCAGTTGATCCTGGGAGCAGGGGACTCCAAAGGGCTTTGCGACTGCGGCAACTCACTGCCAGCAGTGTCAGTTCCTGTAACCAGGGCTTCTTCCTCTGTGCCTCCGGAGGACAGTGGGTAGATGCGTCACAGAGTACGAGGGCTATCATCCTACGGAGAGTCCTGACACTCATGGTGTCGCAGTGAGGGCAGTTAGGCTCCTCAATGGCGACCTCTGCGTGGGCCGCCCAGGCAAAACACGCACCTGTTGTGATTGTCAAGGAGCTCTAGAGGTCCGGAGCAGGAGGAACAAAGTTTGAAGGACATGTCGCAACTTCGCCGGAACGCTGAAGAGGATTGCAATATAATCCACTTTTTTTGTGATGACTTGACGAGGAAGGAGAGGCTTCCAAATAATTCAGGTGAAGGAGAAAGATTCTGAGGAAAATGCCACTGTGCGGTGCGTTATAAGGGGCGCCACGCCCCCTTATTTCTGCACGCTTGAGTGCCATTGGCCATTGCAAGGCAATGGCGTTAAGCGATTCAGGGTTCAGTATTCTAAGGAGAAAGGTGTTTCCCCAATGTGTCAGCATAGCTGTATGCAATGCCGAGAGACCATCTCGACAGTAAACTGTATTATCTGTAAACACACACCAGATCTGAGATATAACATACAACATATCAGGCAATGACATGTAAGTTTCTACGATAAAGAAATTTTTTTTTTTAAATGTTGGATTCATGTGATTGGAAAAAATATTTGTTATATCTTCAGTAAGTAAAATATTGTGGTGTATCATTAGTAAAACAAAAAAGTGTGATTTCCTTTTCCCTTTGAATACATATAAGCAAATCTTAAAGGGATAGTTCACCCAAAAATGAAAATTAGCCCATTATTTACTCATCCTCAAGCCATCCTAGGCGTATATGACTTCCTTCTTTTCAGATGAATCCAATTGGAGTTATATTAAAAATTGACTTTGATCTTCCAAGCTGTTTAATGGCAGTCAGCGGGTGTTACAGTTCATTAGTTCAAAAGAAGTGAAATAAAGCACATCCATCCATAATAAAAAAGTGTCTCACACAGTTCCGGGGGGTAAACAAAGGCCTCCTGTAGCGAATCGATGTGTTTTTGTAAGAAAAATATCCATATTCAAAACGTAATAATCACTTTAATCTAGTTTACGCCAACAGTTAAACACGGAAGCATGAGCTGCTCCCGGAGAAATATTTCAATCGATCGCTCAGGCATTTAAGTGGCACCGAAATGAGGCACCGAAATCTGTATTATGATTCGGTTCTAGTACATACCGGTTACATAGGTACCGGTGCCATATTGGCACCTGGTTTTGGTACCCAACTCTAGTAACACCCGCTGACTGCCATTAAACAGCTTGGAAGATCAAAGACCATTTTTAATATAACTCCGACTGGATTCATCTGAAAGAAGGAAGTCATATAGGCCTACACCTAGGATGCCTTGAGGGTGAGTAATTCATGGGCTAATTTTCATTTTTGGGTGAACTAACCCTTTAAACGTTATTTCAATTTTTTTTATTATTTTGTTTTTTACATCATGAATTATTCATTCCACCACATGATTTTACAACAACTAGCCTTGTCTTGTCATAAGTCAAATTATCTAAGATTTTATTGACCTTGAGGGTCTTATAAGGGGTCCTCCAAATGATAGGCCTACCATTTCCTTTTTTTTTTTTTTAGCATTTTGGTTGCACCATGAAACTATTATAACT